CCCTGTGCCTGGGAACAGCAGCCACAGCATCTGGAATTTATTTAGGACAAATGACCAGCATGATCTCAAACAGCACAAACTTTCAATCTCCAACCATAGTGAGCAAACCTGCTCACCCAGTGGAGGCTGGTATATTCCCCAAGGTGCCCTGCCCTAGCAGAGAATCCTGATACCCAAACATTTCCCTACTTTCTGCATTTTTGGAGGGTATCTCAGTTTCCCAACCTTAAGTTGACATAGATCCTCGCACCCTTCCTAGCCACAAAAGATTCCCCTGAGACACAGCCCCAGGAGAGAAACTCACTCCCCTTATGCCAAGCAGGCCAGCAGGCCATGAGATGGTCATGTTTCCAGAAGCCATTTTCATCCTTAATCCTTCCCCCTCTGGACTCTTTTAGGGATGTGGGCATCTCCTTTGGTGAGACTTTCCCTGCCTTTGGTGCTCTGGGTGCTGTCGGCCTCAATGTCCCTCCCTGCCACTTAATCCTGTTGCTGAGAAACGCATGGGCAAAACTCAGGCCTTGTGAACTTGAAGAAATCTTCAGAAGTGAACTGAGGCCTTCTGCCCCTCCTTGGTCTACTGCCCTGGGGTCTGGACCACAGGCTGAGGGAAGTGAATTCCTTAAGTGATCATGGGCCACCTCCACAGCCCACCTTCCCACCACCTGTCACCTCCTTCAGCCAGAAGTCACAACAGCTTAGGAACACCACGTTCTGAGGCCATATGTGAGCTCTGCATTTTCATGGGTTGGTAACTCTCTTTGGCTTCCCCACATCAGGGACATTCTGACAACTCGCCCAGCAAGGTAAGCACAGCCAGTTTCACCAGCTCATTTTCTTATGGAAATATCTCTGTGTAGAATGTGTTATTCATGAAAACAATATAAGATTCACTCTGGGTCAAAGTTCCTCACTTCAGAACAAAGAAGTATTGGTTAATTACTTCCGCAGGTCTACATCACTGCAAGAATGTGGACTTGAATCCTAGCCATGACCTTGGGCAAGTAACTTAACTTCTTTGATCCTCAGTTTTGTCATCTGTAAAACTGGCATGATGCTTACCTTGAAGAGAAGTTCAAGGAATTAAATATTATAACAAATGTAAAGCAACCAGCACAATATCCAGCACAAGGAAGGCACTGGCTTATCCTCCCTCCTCTGCCTCCAATCTGACCCTGCTCTTACTGTGAAATGATCATTTCCATTCTAATGGCTCTGAGGTCTTAGTTCCTTTACTGAATTTTTCTCATCTTAACCTTCAGTAAAATATACAATATACTAAAAAAGTGCTTAAACCATATTTTAACAATATAACTCTTCACAAGTTATACAACCCATGTAAGCAGCATCCAAATTGATAAATAAAATAATGTCATCCCCTCACCAAAAAAAAAGACCCCACCAAAAAAGACCTCCAGGTGTTCAGGTGCTTCCCTTCAAAGAGTAACCATTATCCTCACTTCCAATGCACTGAATTAATTTTACCTGATTATGCTCTTACATAAATGAAAAACATATATGTCCTTACATGTGTCTGGCTTCTTTCATTCAAAATTGTTTCATGAGATTCATCCATATCACTGTATGCTTTTGTGGTTTCATTTATTCTCACTGCTGTATCATCGTATTCCATTGTAGAATTTCACAATCTATCTCTCCTAATAATCATTCAACAGGACATTAGCAAGCAGAGATAATGAGTAACAAAAGCCCTCCTCCTAAGCCAAAAGTTTCAAAGTGCTGAAAGCATTTGGTGCGGAATCACAGTAGACAAGGTGAGGGCCTGGCCTGTGACGTTGATTCAGTTGACCCCTGCTCCTGCCTTTCAGATTGACGAAGTTGCATATTCTTCCCTGAACTTCAATGCCCAAGAATCAAAGAAACCAACTTCAGCCTCTCCATCCTTAACAGCCTCAGAAACGGTTTATTCAGAAGTGAAAAAGAAGTGATGCAACCAGTCCTGCTCTCTGTACTGCTGACTTATTCCAAGCTCCTCCTCCCCATCCCTAGGAGATCCCTTTACCCTCAGGGAAAATGGGAGGAGTGTCTTCCCCACCCTCCCTCCCTTAACCCCCTAATGAGGCTCCTCCAGGCTGCCTGGTCACAGCCCCTTACTTCAGTGTTAAGAGATGAAAGGTACATCCAGGAGGAGGTCTGTAGGAAACAGACCTTTGTCATTGAAATTTGGCAAAGCAGACCTTGGGAGAGGTTGCCAGAACCTCTGCCCCTCCCCTTTTCCTGACCTAGACCGCTTTTAAACTTGCCTATTCAGAACACATTTATCCCTTCCCACCTCTCCTATCCCATTGGAGTCTAAAGGAACAAATCTAATATGGAGTCAGATTTGTTCTTCCCAATTATGTATCTAGAAGCAACAGCCTGCAGCTCCAAACTGCCTGAAAGAAACTGCCTATCTTCCTCTGGGAAAGAAAATGATTTCATGAGCAAAATATCTCCCACCCTTTCATTAGGGAGAAATCACACTTCCCACACAGAGACTCCAGTGAATCAGATGCAGCAATACAGCTTTCATTCCCAACAGTCCCTGTAATAGAAAAGAACAAATCTGACTCCATATTAGATCTGTTCCTTTGGTTTTAACCCTGTGCTCTGTTTCCTAGTCTTAGTCTTGCTGGTTCGGCACCTTTTGTGAAGGAATGTTGCCTATAGCCTGAAATATAGAGGACAGCCTAGTCTTAAGGCTCTGATCTTGAAGGATATTAACACTTTTCCATTCATATAAAGATACCAAGTTGCAGAACAGAAAATAGTATTTGTTTTGTTCGAGGTTTACAGGGACACTGTGACCTAACCCACGTGGACAGCTGCAAGAACAAAGGATTCCGACACCAAGAAGTTTGCAACAACCAAGCATACCCCCTTCCCCATGTTAGTATAAAAGGAGCCTGAATTCTGACTTGGGGAAGATGGTTCTCCAGGACATTAGTCTGTCATCTTCTTGTTTGGCCAGCTTTCCAAATAAAGCCGCTATTCTTTGTCCCAGCACCTCGTGTCCTGATTTATTGGCCTCTCCTGCAGCGAGCAGAATGAGTTTGGACTCAGCATCACCACCACTGCTTCCTCAGCCCTTGTTCTTTGGTTTCCCAGACTCGATACCTCACCACAGCCTGTTGATTCTTTTTTAGCATCTCTCAGTTATGTCCTTCTCCCCATTCCCATACACCTAAATAACCCCCGCCCTCAAGACCTCTGCTGGAGGTACTGCTTGAATTCTTGTCTTTGGTCTCTCTACTGAAATCTTCCTTGCACACTACTGCCTCATTACTTTCCTAAAAACTGGTTCACTGTCCCACCCAAGAACCTACAGTGGCCTCCCCTGGCCTATCAGGCAAGTTCAAATTTCTTCCTCTTAACTAAAATTTCTTACTTTCTTTCCCACTACTCTCTAGTTTAATTCCTCCATTCTGATTAATAATTCTGCCCTTCTACCCAATATACACACAGACTTCTTTGTCCCAGTAACACGCCTGAAAACAAGTACCACACAGGGTAATGTTTTCTCACAGAAGAACTTACCCACAAGAGTCATCACAAGCAACGACTCCAACCATGGGGAGGACAAGGGCCTTGTAGCATTAACGTATAAACCTCAGATTCAGGACACAACTGCCTTGTGATTGAGAATCTTTTTCTGATGCCGAATTTATGTGTTCATGAAATCCTTAGGGAGCACCTACTGTGCTACAAGTCTCAGTATTAGACCCTATGAAATATGCAGAAATGAGAAATGCAGGGCCCTTACCCCAGGGAACATAAAGCCTAAGACAAGAGATAAGACATGAAAAATTATTATAATACAAAAATAGCAATGGAAAATGCCACAAGAGAAGACAGTGAGAAAGCTAATGGGAAATATGGCTACACAATAGAATGATTGGGAAAATTTTAGAAACAACTGGAATTCAGGCCCCACCTACAGATTCCACTTAATTGGCCTAGGAACTGGTAATTTTTTAAAGCTTCCCAGATGCTCTTAATCGGAATGCAGTCAGAATGGAGAATTTCTGGTATAATAAGTAGGATGGAAGCCTTAAAGCAGTGGGTTTTAGCTAGTATAAGTCAGAATTACCTAGGGAATATTTTCAACATTTCTAAGAGGCCTATAAACCATCGCTGAAGAAGCTGATACTATGTCTGGAGTGAGATTTGGGCTTACATATTTTGAAAAACTCACAGGTGACTCTCACATGTGTTCCACGTTAGGAAACACTGACCTCAATCATAGGTAGGACTGAAAAACTCAGGAGTTCGGAGGACGCTCCATGAGATGGACATGAGGATGAATAATCTATTTCACAGGCACAGAGAAGTACTCAAAAAGAAATTTTTGGCAAATTTCTCAGCTTTAAATGACTGATGATACCAACGGTTGTGAGAATGGGAAACAGCTGGTATTCTGACATATTGCTGGTAGAAACATGAAATGGCACAACCATTTTGGAAAAGTTTGACGTTTTCTTATAAAGTGTGCTTATACAGTTCAGCAATCCCACACCAAGGTATTTACATAAGAGAAATGAAAATAGATAGCCACACAAAATGTTACACATGAATGTTCATAGCCGCATTATTTACAATAGCCAGAAAGTGGATATAACTGAAATATCCATAAACATGTGCATAGACTGCATCTCCATACAATGGAATACTAAATAGCAATTTTTTTTAAAAAAGAGTACAAACTGCTACTAGAACAAGATGGCTAGGTCTCTCAAACATTATGCTATGCAAAAGAAGCCAGACACAAAGGAGTACATACTATATGATGCCATCTTAATAAAGTTCAAAAACAGACAATAATAATTAATGGTGTTAGAATTCACTATAGGGAGTGGAGTTAGCTCAAAAGGTGCACACAGGAGCTTTTTGGGCAGATGGAAAATATTCTATATTTCAATTCAGGTGGTGATTACATGGGTGTGTACAGTAACCAAAAATCAAATTGTACACTTAAGATAAGTATGCTTTTTAATGGTTTTTAATTTTATCTCAATTTTCAAAAATAAAATAAGCAAAGAAGCAGCTAACTCAATCTATTAGTTATTCTGTATTCATTCTGTACTTTTGCAAAAAAAAAATTACCACAAATTTAGTGGCTTAAATCAACACCTATTTAACAACTCACAGAATTCAGTTCCTTGAAGTTATTAACACCCAGGTCCCCGTTGCCCTGGTACAAACACTCTCAACTACTAGAGAACCTCCTCAGGTGCTAGGCATGAGGTCCCCTTCCATCTCAGTGAGGGAAAACATCCCTTAAATCGAATCCCTCTTTCACTTCTAATCTCTCTGATTTCCCCTTCTGAGACCCACTGGGAAAAAACTGCCTGCTTTTAAAAACTGCCTGTGATTACATTAAGCCCACTTAGATCATAGCTCTTTTTATTCAATTCAAAGTGAACTGATAGTAACCCAATTACATCTGCAAAATCCTTCTTGCTACATAAGGTTAACACATTAACAGGCATGATTCCTTATCTTATATTCACAGCCCAGGATTAGGAGTAAATCTTGGGACAACATCTTAGAATGCTGCCTACCACAGCAGCATATGAAAGCTACTCATGCTCTCGGACAGAAGGTCCTTTAAGATCCTTGTTTTGAAGAAATAAGAAAAAAAGCTAAAGCTAGTCAGTTCAAACTTACTTCATATTTTGAGACTAAGGACAAAAAAACAGATAAGAAAGCAAGGGCCCACTTCCTGCTAACCTGTAAATCTGAGCCACAGGTGCTTCATTGTCCTCAGACCTTTAGTAATGTTCACAGGCAATGACAGTAGCTAGCTTCAAAGTTAACCTGTAACTAAAGTTATCAGAAACCAAAAGTCATCCCAGCGAACCAACCAAAAGCGACAGTAAGGCTGCACTAATTCAACCAAGACATTTTATAGACTTCTGATGACTGATTCATTCAACATCATTTATTGAGGATTTACTCTATGTCAAGCACTAAGCCACTTGCTGAGAACAACATGATGATTATAAAATAAAGCCCTTTTTGGATCTTTATTGAAAAAATTATACTACAAAAAGTGGGGGAGACATAAAAAGAAATAAAGGAGTAAAGAAAAATGGGAAGAGGAGGAAAGTGAAGAATTATGAGACAATTGCCAAAATTCAAGCATTGACTATTTTATGATACTGAGGAAGTATTACTTTTTAGTGTGATAGTGTTACTGTGACTATGTTTTTTTAAGAATCGTATATCTTAGTAATACAGCTGAAATATTTACAGATGAAATGACTTGATAACTAGGATTTGCTTCAAAATAATCCAGGTTTGAAGAGGGCAGTGGATGGGATAAGACTGGTCATGAAATGGTAACTGCGAAGCTACATGATGAGTACACATAGATTCATTGTATTGTGAGATTTACTTTTGCAATGATTTGAAATTTTCCAGAATAAAGAAGTCCTGCTCTCCAGAAGGTTATAACACAAATCAGATATTCCAACAAATAGAATGCTAACAAGTTAAACAAAATATACACAAAGCCCTAGTCATGCTCAGAGGATAGTGACTGCCCCGGGAGTCAGACAAAATGTCAAAGGAGCATCTCCCCTGACCAGAGTTTTAAGGAAGTCCTCCAGGCAAAAAGGGCAGGCAAGCAGCTACAAAGGCATGTGGATGTGAAGCCGCAGAGCTTCTGCACACTCTTTGGACGACTTACTAGAGGCCGTGTTACCTAAGAACACATGTTCTAGGGCCAGACCAGCTGTGCTGGAGTTCCTGCTCTTGGGTCTCTACTGTGAGACTTCAGACAAGCTATTTGCAATGTTTCTGTGCCTCAGATTCTTCACCTACAAAACAAGGATAATAATAGTACATACTTCACAGCGCTGTTGTCAGGCGTCAATGAGTTAATCCATGTGTAAAACATTTAGAACAATAGGTGAACAATAAACGCTAGCTGTTAGCGATGGAAGCAGCATCCCACCCCACAATACCACACATCATGAAAATCTCATCTACTCTCTACTTGTTGTTACCTTCTTTTGGTTAGACTGTACACCTGTAAAGTAGGAACCACGTCCACTGAGCGCTACAACCCAGAACCTAGCCTACGGCCATGCCGAGATGAGGCGCCGATCAGTCAACTCTTCTTTCAG